TTTTGCATTTTAAAGACAAGGTCTCAATTTGTTGCCCAAGCTGGCCTTAAACTTGCTATGTAGTCAAGGGTGGCGCTGAACTCATGATCCTCTTACCTCAGCCTTCTGAGTGCTGGTATTATGGTGTGCACCACCACATCCAGCCTAAGGAAGATACCTTGATATAGAAAATAAAAACAGCAATTCAAATTATCGTGAATCCTAGTGCAGATATTTTTACTCAGAGACAGTCACTGAAACATGTTTTTTTAAACACTTAAAAAGTAAAATCAACCTAAATGTCTAAAATAAGAAAACAGATTATTAAACAATATATATAAGAAAATCCTGCCAGGTGTGGTGGCTCATACCTATAATCTCAGCATTCAGGAGGCTGAGGCAGGAAGATACACATAACTTTGAGGTGAGTTTTTTTTCTAGACCTTCAAGGCTGGCCTTGAACTCATAGTGATCCTGCTGCCTCAGCGTCTGTAGAGCTGGGATGACAGGCATGAGCCACCAAACCCAGCAGACCTACATACTACTGAGTTCAAGTCCAGCCTGAACTGCATAGCATGACCCAAAAAAAAACCACCAAAAAACAAAAAAAAACCAATTTGCTTTTATACATTTATACAAATGTCTGGAAGAAATACTCCAAAAGATTTAAAATTATTATCTCTAGGTGGTAGAATTAAAATTGACACCAACTTTTTGCTGGTTTGTTTTGAGACAGGGTCTCATTATGTAGTCCAAGCTGGCCTTAAACACTAGATCTTCCTGCTTCAGCCTCAGAAGTGCTAGAATCACAGGTATGCAGCACCATGCCTGGCTAACTTTTTAATCTTATCTAATTTTCCAGTTTTTCCAGAATGAAAAAAGGTAACTATAACATCTAAATAAAGGTAAATTTTATTTTATTTTTATTTACTTATTTTTGTCTTTTTCAGACAAGGTTTCGCTATGCAGTTCAGGCTGGCCTTGAACTCACTTTGTAGCCCAGGCTGGTCTTGAACTCACAATGATCCTCCTGCCTCAGCCTCTTGAGTGCTGGGATTACACGTGTGTGCCACCATGCCCATCCTTAAAGCTAAATTTTAATACAATTCTCCACAAAATCAGACTGTAGAGGTTTAAAATGGACTTATTTTAAAATAATGGCAAGTGGAAATCAGTTTGGAGATTCCTCAGCAAACTAAGACTAGAGGTCCCATTCAACCCAGCTATTCCCCTTCTGGGTATTTTCCCAGAAGATCTAAAAACATCATATCACAGCGATATATATGCACCTATGTTC